GATCCTGAAAGCTTCCAAGAGGCCATCTAGATGTAACAATGGCTCTTCTCATCCAGAGCAAAGAAGAATGAAGAAAACCAAAGACACATAGAAACAATTAGTCAAAGCCACTGGTACAACATGTGATCCTCAGCCTATACGACTGTGAGACCAGAAGAACTAGATGGTGCCCAGCTACCACTGTCAACCACTCAGAGGGGGATCTATGTAGGACATCCTGGATAGAGTGGGTGAACGATATGGAACAAAACTCCAAATCATTGAAAAAAAAGGGGGGGGGGACCAGGTTTGCTGGTCTGAAAGAGCCCGATAGAACCACTGAGACTGTGGCCCCTAGCTGCCTTTCAGGTCGGGAATTGAACCCACTCCCGTGGCTTCCAGCCAAACAAGACAGGCAAATTAACTGAACATTTCCATTAGGTAGATACGCCCCTTGGAGAGATCAATCGTGGGACAATAGAAGGCCTGTGTATGCACAGGGAGACAGCTGGCGGGGGGGGGAGACATAGAGAAGAGATAACTATGGGGAGGAAGTGGAAGGGGAACTGTTGCATTGTGGGAAATTGCAGTCAATGTCATAAAACAAAGTGTATGTGAGCTGCTGTATGGAAAATGAATTTGTTCTGTAAACTTTCACCCAAATCACAATAAAAATTTAATGATAATACATGTTAACTGCAGGACAACTGAAAAATACAGAAAAGACTGCCAATACCAACTAAGGTTTCATTCTCACTTAAAGGTGTGTTTTGTTACCAAAAACCTAAAACTTTCCTTTCCTGGAATTCTCAGTCTTAACAGAGGACTGCTTTGCTAGAGCCAGGCCCATTCTTAAGGCATGTTTTTGAAAAGAAGCCCAGCAGAACTCCTGTTCTACGAGATCCTAGTGTTTGTGGAAGAAAAGCATCACACTGTGTAATGTATTCAGAACGTACTGTACCTGCTGCCGTGGAGTCAGGTCTGACTCACAGCGACCCCTCCTTGGGTTTCCGAGGCAGTATCACAATCAGTGATACAGAAGTGTAGATTGCCCCACCTTCCTTCTGGGGAGTGGAGCTTAAATTCTGAAGTACGTGGTTTGGGGCAGGCTGCAGCCTACAGTGGGAGCCCTAACTGCATTGTGAGGTTTGATGTTTCAGACAACATCTGGGTTCTTTCTAACCTTTAAACAAACATTGTGGCTGTGCATAGACAAGTTGCAGGATAAATCTTGGGAGGGGCAGTTTGCCCTCAGGAAGAGTGGCTGAAAGTAGATTATGCTCACTGTCCTTATCTAATTAATTTAAATTAAGGTGGTAATGGTTGTTAGGTGGAGTCAGCTCTGACTCATAGGACTCTACAACAGAACAAAACACTGCCTCACAGTCCTTGCTATACCTGTGCCCATCATTGTAGCCACTGTGTTAATGCATCTCTTTTAGGATCTTCCCCTTTTTTGCTGACCCTCCACTTTACCAAGCAGATATTATACTCCAGGGATTGGTCCCTTCCAACATCATGACCAAAGCAGGTGAGACAAAGTCTGGCCACTCTCACTTCCCAGGAGCATTCTGGCTGTACTTTCTTCAGGATTTATTAGTTCTTCTGGCAGTCCATCATACTTTCAGTATTCTTTGCCAACACTGCAACTCAAAAAGCATCAACTCTTCTTCGGTCTTCCTAATTCATTGTCTAGCTTTCACATGCATATGAGGCAGTTGCAAACACCATGGCTTGGGTTAGGTTCACCTTAGTCTTCAAAGAGACATCTTTGTCCTTCAGCACTTTTCAGAGATGTTTTGCAGCAGATTTGCCAAGTGCAATATATCGACTGATTTCTTGACTGCTGCTTCCATTGGTGTTCATTGTGGAACCAAGTAATATGAAATGTTTGACAACTTCAATCTTTTCTCCATTTATTGTGATACTGCTTATTGGTCCAGTTGTGAAGATTTTTGTTTTCTTCATGTTGAAGTGTAATCCACACTACAAAATGTAGTCTTCAATCTTCATCAGTAAGTGCTTCAAGTCATTTTCACTTTCAGCAAGCAAGGTTGTGTCATGTGCATATCGCAGGTTGTTAATTAATCTTCCTCCAATCCTTACTCTATTCTTCTTCATATAGTCCAGCTTCTCGGATTATTTGCTCAGCATGCAGATTGAATAAGTATGGTAAAAGGATACCAATCTAATGCACTCCCTTCCTGATTTTAAACCACGCAGTTTCTATCCCTTTCTCCTGTTCGAATGACAATCTCCTGGTCTATGTACAGGTTCAGAGCTCTGGTGGCGTAGTGCCTAAGGCATTTGACTGCTTACCAGAAAGTTGGTGGTTCAAACCCACTAGCCACTCCTCAGAAGGAAGGTTGGACACTCTACATCAATAGCGATACCGCCTCAGAAACCAAAGGGGTCACTATGGGTCAGATACTACTCAACAGCAGTGAGTATGAGCACAATTAAGTGTTTTGGAATTCCTATTCTTCTCAATGTTATCCATAATTTTTTATGATCCATACAGTCAAATGCTTTTGCATAGTCAATAAAACACAAGTAAACATCTTTCTGGTATTCTTTGCTTTCATCCAAGATCCATCTGACATCAGCAGTGATATCCTTCATTCCATGTCCTCTTCTGAATCCAGCTTCCATTTCTAGAAGTTCCCTATCAATATACTTCTGCAACCATTTTTAAATTATCTTCAAGATTTTATTTGTATGTGATATTAATGATATTGTTTGGTAATTTCCACATTCTGTGATATTACCTTTCTTTGGAATGGGTACAAATATGGATCTCTTCCAGTCAGTTGGCCAGGTAGCTATGTTACAAATTTCTTGGCATAGACAAGTAAATGCCTCCAGAGCAGCATCCATTTGTTGAAACATCTCAATGGGTATTGCATCAATGCCTGGAGCCTTGTTTTTCGCCAATTCTTTCAGTACACCTTTGACTTCTTCCTTCAGTACCACTGGTTCTTGATCATATGCCAACTCCTGCAAAGGATGAGCATCAACAAATTCTTTTTGGTAAACCGATTCTGTATTCCTTTCATTTTCTTTTGAGGGTTGCAGCTGCATGGTCCTATCTGGACCATCACCTAGCCAGGTGGTCAAGCCCCAGAACCAATCCTGCAACCCTTTTTAATCTTCATTTATATATGTGTCCTGTTTCTGTAGTCTTGCCTGCAACAGTGATGAATCAATCTGCCACCAGTCATGATTTTGTGATGATTTTGTTTTCAACCGTATATAATTAGCTCATGGCCACAATTCAGCACACTTCATTCAGCTTTCTGTACCGTGTACATGCTGATGGTTTCCCTCAACCTGCATGATTGTCTTTGTCCTGTCTAAGGGTTACTAAAAGTGTCTCTGCTGAACCTATTTGAGTCGGGAGCCTCTTTGCCCCTACCGCAGCACTGCACACCTGTCTCCCTCTTGGAGATGCACAGTGCACAGAGACATTTGAGTTTCTGTGGCGGTGGCAGGTGCTATTTAGCTTTATTTAAACTATTTGGCCATGTACTTCTTTTCTTGCAAAATATCTTTGGAGTAGATATTCCAAGGAAAACCATTTGGGAAATACTGTTCTATAACATTTACTACAGATTCCTTCAGAATTTCTGTCAAGCCATTCTTTTACACGCACCCTGTGAAGGTTAGGAATTCTTTATACGAGGTAGAACTCTGCCCCTGGAGTAGAAGCATTTGGTGTTCACACAACCTCATTGAGCAAATGAGGTAGCCCTCACCTGTGTCCTGGGCTTCTCCTTACATTGTTTATTTCAATGTTTGCTTGAACACTTTCCATGCCACAGATGTTTCCTGCAGTGCTTCCTGAAAATTCTGTTTAGCTTTCTTATCTTAACTCAGCTTTTAGTCATCTGCATAGATACTCGCCCTTGGGAATCTCATTCTCTTTCTCCATTTCAATTAGCATCTCTATTCTGGAACTAAAGGAGCTCTGGTGGTGCAGTGGTTAAGACATTTGGCTCCAAACCAAAAGGTCAGTGGTTCAAACCCACCAGGTGCTTTGTGGAAAAAAATGAGGCAGTCACTTTCATAAAGATTTACAGCCTTGGAAACTCTATGGGGGTTGGTATGAGTTGGAATTGACTCAATAGCAGTGAGATATATCCATCCCCCCCACCCCCAGGTATTCTGGAAATAGGAACTCTGGTGGTTCCTTGATTAAAACATTCAGTTGCTAACTAAAACTTCAGTGGGTTGAACCCACCAGCCTCTTGACAGGAGAAAGATGAGGCAGCCTGCTTCTGTCAAGACTGACAGCCTTGGAAACTCTTACAGGATGAGTTCTACTCCTAGGGTCACTGGGAGTCAGAATCAACTGGATGCCAGTGGGCTTGATTTTTTTCTGGACCTCTGAATTGGTGTCTCCCGCCCTGTCTTTTATCCAGCTCCCAGTTCTGTAGAAACAGTGTCTTCAGTTGAATGTTTCTTCTAACTCCAGTTGGCTGCCTTTTTCTGAAACCACCTGGTTTTCCTTAAAGGAAATTAGGCATCCTCATTATAGAACCTGATGTGAAATGGCAGCATTCACAGCGGCCAACAAACTAGGACTGGGAGAACTCATTTTTTATCAAATGGTCTGAAAATAAATGAATCAAAACCAAATCCAATGTTGCAACAAAACTCAGACTTTAAGCCCATAGTTCACAATCATACTCTGGGGAAAAAAATTAAAAATTTACATTTGCTAGCCATCCCTATCCTGTCAGCCTTGAGTGGTACTGGAGGGACGTCCTCGGTCTTAACTCAAGCTGGGGTTGCAGAGCTGGCTCACATTAGGAAGAAAGGACCACTTGATGGCAGATGAGCAAACACCTCTTTTGATCAATGGATAGGAAACATAACTGGTGACAGTTTCCATTCTTTTCGGTGCCTCACTTTGCTAAGTAGGATTACATTCTTACTCACAAAGGCCCCTTTTCAGAACCAGCTGGATTTGGCCCCTGTGGCTGTGGGGTTCAAGGCAGTGTCCATTCTGCCCTGTCTGCCTAACTCCAATCAGCCTCTATCATGGCAAACAGCTGGCGAAGTCTTTTCTTAACCTCAGGCTCCCTGGGCGCATGTCTGGCCTTGGCATGTACCCTGGCGTGCTCCACCAGTTTCGACCTATAGATGAACCCCTTGCCGCAGTCGCCACAGGCAAAGGGCCGCTCAGGCCTATGGATGCGTTGGTGCCTCAGCATATGGCCCCGCTCCCGGAAGTTCTTGCCGCACTCGGGGCAGTGGAAAGGCCTCTCCCCCGTGTGCAGGCCCTGGTGGCTGAGCAGCTGTGCCTTCAGGCGGAATCTCCTGTCACACGTGGGGCACTGGAAGGGCTTCTCACCCGTGTGCGTCCTGACATGCTCCACCAGCTTGGACTGCTTGGCAAAGCCCTTACCGCATGGGCAAGAGAAGGGCATGGTGCCACCGTGCAGACGCTGGTGTGTCCTCAGGTCGGCCTTCACCCGGTAGCTCTTGCCGCACTCCGAGCACTGGAAGGGTCGCTCTCCTGTGTGCAGGCGCTGGTGGCTTCGCAACTGGCCCTTGAGGCGGAAGCGGCGGTCGCACTCAGGGCACGGAAAGGGCTTCTCACCACTGTGCACGCGGAGGTGCTCTGTGAGCTTCGACTGCCGCGCGAAGCCCTTGCCACACTGGCTGCAGGCGAACGGCCGCTCCCCGCCATGCATGCACTGGCGTGCCCTCAAGACACTGGGCAGGCGGAAGCTGCACTGGCACTCGGCGCACCGGAAGGGCCGCTCACACAGGTTGCAGCGGTGGGCGAAGCCCCGCTTGCACTGCGCGCACATGAAGAGTCGCTGCTGCGGGGCTCGGCGTGCGCGCAACACCCGGGAGCGCGCGCCGCCCTCCGAGCTCCTGCACTCGGCGCTGGGTAGCAGCCTGTCACCAGGGCCGAGCCGCTGCGTGCTGCTCCTGTTACACAACGTACCCTGGGAAGGCTGGTCCATGCCACACTCCCCACAGGACGGTGGCACCTCCGAGTGCCACCTAGTGCCTGCGTTGCAACACTGGGCCGGCTCCTTCCCTGGGGGTGCAGCCCCCTCCGTGGCCAACCGCAGGTGCCTCTGCAGGAGGCACGGGCTGTGCTGGGGGCCCAGCACCGACTTCTCCGCCTGGGGTCCCAGACATGGCACAGCCTCTGCACACCGGGTCGGGCTCTCCTGCACCGGTGCTGCCAGGGGTCGCAGACCATGCACCCAGCCACCCCTGGCTACCCGCGGCGGGCTCTGTCCCCAGTGGCTGTTCCTGCAGATGCAGCCCAGAGCATCCTCCCTTCTAAGTGCCTCCCTGGAACAGCAAGTGGCAACTGGCTCCAGGGTGTCACGTCCATGGCAATTCACGAGGGCACGCCCAGGGTCAGACGGAAAAGACTCTCTCCCTTTTTCTAGTAAGGCGCCAAATGAATCCTGGCTGTGCAGAGGGTCTAGTTGCAACCAGCCTTGACTTTCTTCAGCTTTCGCAGCCTGCAGGCTCCCTGGAATTGGAAAGGAAGTAAGTTCAGTCAGCGGCCATGTCTAGTCTTGGCTTGAGCAGGGCTTTCTGTTACCAGTACCCCCTGCACCCAGCCGCATACACTTCCATTTCATGACCAGAAGGGCCTAGAAGCAGGAAGACACAGGTCAAATAGGGCCTGGTGCCACCTCAACTATGTTTCAATCCCAGGGGCGCTTCCAGTTAACTTTCTCAGACCATACTTTGATACTTTCAAAAATCTAGGAATCTCACAAGAGCCCATCATGCCAAGTAAGGAAAGCAGAGCTCGTGGCTAAGTATCCTGTACAGATGGCCGTCTCCAGGGAGAAGGGAAGCAGTCTAGGTCACAGGCTCCAGATGACCAGCTTCCAACTGTGCTTTCATGTCTACTGAGAACATGGACTTACATTCATTGGGCTCTTACTCTGTGCCAGGTGTCACTAACACGTCACATCCCTTTAGTTGTCATGACGATCCTATCACATAGATACTGTTCTTATCTTCACTTTGTAGATCAAGAAATGGAAATATGGAGAGTTGGATGACTTGTCGAGTTACCCAACAGAGTCAAGACCCAGCCTCAGGCTCAGGGCCTGGTCTCCTAACGCCCGCACCACTAACGGCCAAGTCTAAATAAAATATGTTGTTGTCAGGTGCCGTGGAGTTGATTGTGACTCACAACGCCATGTATGCAGCATAGAAGTGCCCCAAAAGGTTCTCAAGGCTATCACCTTTCTTTCAGTAGCAGACCTCCAGCCCCTTCTTCAGAGGAGTCTTTGGGTGAGTTCAAACTCTCACCCTTCTAGCTGAGGCATTTTACCACCCAGGGACTTCTCTAGAATATACCAGATGCCAAGGCCTCAGCCCAGGGAACTGGGAACACAACACCACACAGACAACTGGACAGGGGAAACCAAATGTGCTCTGTTAAGGGCCAGACCCCAATGCCTTAATACTCACCCCGAAACAGCTGTCCCTTAAGATCTGCATCAAAATGCACGTTAGCAGAGGGGCAAATGATGTCTTCAGGTCTCTGTGCATCTCCCCAGTTCCTGACGGGCTCTCCCCGCTGTTCAATCCAGGATAGGAGTTCTGGCTTGGGAATCCCACCACCTGCAGAGAAGTCCCACAGGTTTTTGGTTTCCTTGGGCACTAAGTTCAAAGCACACAGAGTTGTCTCTCAGTTTTATCTAAATGTTCTCCTGGGGAGCTGCTGTATGGAAAATGAATTTGCTTTGTAAACTCACCCAAATCACAATAAAAATTATTAAAAAAAAAAAAAAAAAAAAACCTCCCGGGCAATGGGTGAGAAAGATGTCAAAATCTAGGGCATCAGTTTACACGACGGAGCAAGACTGCCCACACAGCCTCACAGCACTTCCTGATCTCTGGACCTGTTATGCCGGGCGTGTTGTTTTCATGGGCCCTGTATATAGCTCACAGTGTCACATTCTCCATGGGTTTAAAAAAACTCACTAGGGGTTTGCTTTGAGAATGGTGGCCAACCTGTGTGATTATTGGAAGTATCAGGGGGAGAAGGTGTGAGAAACTGAGCCCTAGTATTCAGCAGCAGCTCAGAAGAGGAGGGGGTGGAGGAGGGGCAGCGGTAGCCCCCAGCACCCTTCCTGCTGGAGGACCTGGTGTAGTGCTATTGACATGGCACACACATTGTGTGAGGTGTAAGTAACCTAGAGGTGATTTGAAGTATGCGGGGGGACGAATGCATGGTCTATGATGCCATTTACATAAGGCACCTGAGCAGATTTTGATGTCCATGGGAGTCCTGGAACAAATCCCCTGCAGATACCAAGGGACTACTGATCTACAGACCCAATGCAACCTGTCAAAACCCTATCTGCTTATTCATTTATTTTGCAGAAATTGAGAAGCTGATCCTAAAATTCATATGGAAATGTACCAAACCAAAAAAGCCCCACTGCCCCTGAGTTGACTCATAGTGACCCAAAAGTATATTTGCCCCGTAGGGTTTCCAGGGCTGTAATCTTTACAGAGGCAGACAGCCACATCTTTCTCCTGTGGAGCAGCTTGTTGGTTTAAACAACTGACCTTTTCGTTAGCTGCCAAGCACTTAACGACTGCACGGTCAGGGGACCCAAAATACCCAAATCAGTCTTTAAAAAGTTGGAGAACTCACATTTCCTGATTTCAAAACTTACTATAAAACAACAGTAATCAAAACAGTCTGGTACTGGAATAAAGATAGCCATACAGATCAACAGAACAGAATGGAGAGAATAACATAAAATTTTACCATACTGACTTGCTTCAGGTAAAGATATGGTACACTACAGTTCAAGCCTCGGTTTACATCCCCTTCTCCATGGTAATCACTACCTTGAACGTGGTGCTTATCATTTCCATGCATGTATTAAAACCAAACCAAACACTGCCATTGAGCTGATTTTGATTCATAGCAAATCCCATTTGGTTTCCGAGGCTGTAAATCTTTACAGAAATAGATTGGCTCATCTTCTTCCCATGGAGCAGCTGGTGAGTTTGAACCGCAGTCTCTGGTTAGCATCCAAATGCCACTAGAGCTCCTTAAGTATTGTATTAGTGCTTCTAAATTTTGCATAAACCATACTGTGTCATTCTGCAACTTGCTTTTATCCCCTTAAATTATGTTTTTAATTTCTCCACATCGCACTCACAAGTTGAACAGTTCTTACCTAGAGAAGCAAGAATCTCGTAATTGGCTCTCATTACGTGCTTATAAAGGTCTTTCTGCCAGGTCTCCAGGTACTGCCACTCTTGGTCCGAGAAACAGATGGCAACATCCTCAAATGTGAGAGAGAGCTAGAATGACACAACACATACCCAGCCACATGTCTCAACATCAGATGTCTGAGGGGACAGGAATTACAGACAACACACATCCAGTCACACATGTCAACATCAGATGTCCGAGGGGACGGCAATTACAGACAACACACACCCAGTCACACACATCTCAATATCAGATGTCTGAGGGGACGGGAATTATAGACAGCACATACCCAGTCATGTGTCTCAACATCGGATGTCCGAGGGGATAGGATTACAGGCACAACACACATACCCAGTCACACACATGTCAACATCAGATGTCCAAGGGGACAAGAATTACTGACAACACACACTCAGTCACATGTCTCAACATCAGATGTCCGAGGGGGCGGGAATTACAGACAACCCATTCCCAGTCACAGGCAGCTCAAAACGACCCTGGCTCCTTCTCTCATTAATTTCAGAGACTTCTGCGGTAAACACGGTTTTGTCTGCTCAGCGGCCTGTCCCTTGGAGAGCTGCTGCTTCCCGACCCTTCCTGTGGTTCCCTGTCAACCACCTCGGCTCTCCATCTCTTTATGTTCATCCAACTCTTTGTGCATGTGTGTTGTTAGGTGCTACCAGTCAAGTGCCGGCTCACAGCAGCCCCATGTGTTATGGAGTGGAACTGTCCTATAGGGTTTTCTGGGGTGAAGTCGTTATCAGAGCAGGTCTTTCTCTTACACGGCCACTGGGGAGGTTCTAACTGCCTTGGGTGGGTTCTAACAGTCAATCTTTCAGTTGGTAGGAAGCGCTTAACTATTGGGAATGGATTTCCCTTTTTAGCCCAAAAGTTCACTTAATGGCACGGACTTCTTCCCAGGTTAGTAGAAACGGTGCTTTTCCAAGTTGCATTATATTCCATACCAGTTTAGTCACCCACACCCCACTGATGGGCATGGCAAATTTCCTATTTCCTTTCTCAATGGCAATGATCTGCTATCCTTCCTTATGTCTTAGTGCTTTTCCACCTGTAGGATAAAGTCTGAGAGATATAGAATCAAAGAGCACAGACATCTTCCCTTTAGATAGATGCCATTAGATTGCCTTGCAAAAATAAAGCAGTAAGGACTTACACCCTTGCCAGTAATGAAGATACAATTTGTTTCTTTACACCTTTGCCAGTATAACATGTCCTTAAATCTCTCTTTTTTTTTTTTGCTAATGTGAACAGGTAACAACTTGTATTTTATCTTAATTTGCATTAACTGGTGAAGCTGAACATCCCTTCATACCTTTCCTGGGCATTCTGCCTATCTTTGCAAAGGTTCATGTCCTGTGCCACTGAACTAGCAGGCTCTTTGCATTTGAATAAACTCTTTCCGTATGAGGGTTAACAACCCTTTGGCTTGATAGAGAGTCAACGAAAAAGAAGAAGACCCCCAAGGAGATGGATTGACTCAGTGACTGCAATAATGGGTATGTTGTTGTTGTTGTTATGTGCTGTCGAGTCGGCCACGACTCATAGTGACCCCTCCTTGGGTTTCCGAGGCAGTATCACTACGGAAGTAGGATTGCCCAACCTTCCTTCCGAGGAGTGGCTGGTGGGTTTGAACTGCCAGCCGTCTGGTTAGCAGGCAAGTGTCTTAGCCACTATGCTACCAGAGCTCCCAATAATGGGTATAGAAAAGACTAATAAACATAGAAAAGACTGTGAAGATGTTGCAAGATAGGGCAGTGTTAAGTTCTTTTGTACATAGGGTCAATGAGTCTGAATGGGCTTGACAGCACCTAACGATGACAACAATCCTTTGGCTGACTAACATTTTCTCTCGATTTACTGTCTTTTGTGAAATAGAAAATTTTGATCCTTATTGTTTCCAGGTTTTTCTTTCATTTAAGACAATATTCCCCATGTTAAGGTTATACAAATATTCTCCTAAATTATTATTTTACATTTAGATTTGCAATTAAATTCTCGAGATGAGTCTTACTTTATTTATATACAACAGCCAATCACGCCAACCATCAAGTACACCATTCTTTCTCCTCTAAATTGAAATGCCAGAGTCCAACCTTTGCAAACATTACATTTTCATGTGTGTGAATCTACATACTCTGAACTTCTCTACTGCTACCCTATGTATTTCATTATAGGGCCTGTGCAGTGTTGTCACACCTGCAGGGCAAGTCCCACACCCCATTCTTTTCTAAGTATTGTTACCAATTCCTGTAACATTTATTCTTCCTTGTAAACTTCACAACCATTTTGCCCAGCCAATAATATTTTTTAAAATACCCTGGATTCCCTTTGAATTGAATTAAATTTCTGTGTGTGTTTAGGAACGACTGATCTCAACCCAGGGACATCATCTGTCACTGCATTTATTTAGGTCTGTCATGAGTTTCTTCATAAATGTTCTAAACCTTTTTATTGACTTTATTTCTGGTAATCTGTGGCTTTCTAACAATTGTAAATGGGATCGCCCCTTCCACTTCAAACCATTAGGACTAGTATTAAAATAAGTTACTGATTTTTGGAAACTTACACTGAATTCAATTAATGCTCCATGTTTGCTTATTGATCTTAAAAGTCCTACGTTTTGGGCGGGATACTATCATAGAGTTTTCAAATAAGGATACCTTTCCCTCTTTTCTCAAAATACCCTGCCTTTTAAGAATGTTTCCGGACTGAGTTTATTAGAACCTCGTTCACGGCTCAGGGTTTAGGGCCCAGATTTGGCAGGCTTTCCCACGCGAAGATTGTGAGAGGCTCTCCTAAGTGTTCCAGACGCTTTACAGCTTTATTACAACGAGGGCTCTAGTCCACCTGCAACGCACTTCTGCGTGTGTACGAGGGAGGAACAGAACTCTTCACAAAGGGACCCTGAGTTCCACAACACTTACTCAACAGCCCGTTTTCCTACCGGCGGCTACCCACAGCCGCGATCACCCCTCCCCAGCGACCTCCGTTCCCCGCGGGTTGTGACCCCTGCCCACCCCCAGGCGCTGCCCCGGCGTCCCTCCCAGCCTCGGCTTCGCCACCATCGTCCACGCGACACCACTCGGCTCTTCTCCTCTTCTAATCATTCTTCCTTCCTACACTTGAGACACATTTCATCCCGTCAGCTGTTCGGTCCCGGGCCATCCCTGGGGCGCGGCGGCCACCGGCTCCATCAGGCCGCCTCCCGTCGGACCGCCAGCCCGGCCCCCGCCTCACCCAAGCCGGGACCCCGCGGGCCACCGGGGACCAGCTTCTCCGCGGCCGGGCCTCATCCGCCCCTCTTACCCGGAATGGCTCGGCCATGGCCTCCGCGCCCACCCGCCCGCCCGGCGCGGCGCCCCCACGCCTGGGGCGCCCGCGCCGCAAAGTGCACGCTGGGATTGGCCCGCTCGGGGCGGACGGCCGCCGCGCTCGGCTCCGCAGCGCCGCCTGCGGGCGGGAGGAGCGAGAGGCAGCCAGGCGCCGCCGCAGGACTGTGTGCCTCCTGTCCGGGCTCCTTCCTGGAGGCCTGCGGGTGACAGATCCTAGGACTGTCTCGTCTTCAAACACTTCGCGATGGGGAGCCCCAGGGAAAGGGCACACGGCAATAAAGCATCAAGCTGAGAAAAGGAGCCCGGGAGGCACAAGAGGTTCTGATCGGCCGCTAACCTAAAGGTTGGCTATCGGAAGCCACCCTGCGACTCCACCGAAGAAAGGCCTGGCGAACTAACTACTGCCAAGAGAACCCTATGGAACAGTTCTACTCTGTAATCCACGGGGTCGCCATGAGCCAGAATCAACGCGATGGGAACGGGTTTGGCTTAAAGGAGAAAGAGGTGCCACACAGAAAAGCCAGCAGGGAGAGAGACCCTGAAAGGGAGAGGTAGGCCGAGGGAAGAGCTGGAGCCGGAAACAGCGGACTGACAGCTAGAAGAGAGAGGAGGAGGTGCGTGGGAAGAGTCTAGTCCTCAAAAACCAACTTCAAACTTTATCCCAATAATATGTTATCTTGGTGTCAGGCTAAAGAAACGTAAAGGGAAAAGTGGGCAGCTCAGGGGAGCTCTGGTGGCATAGTGCCTAAGGCACTTGACTGCTAACCAAAAGGTTGGCAGTTCAAACCCACCAGCCATTCCTCAGAAGGAAATCTACTTCCGTAGTGATACAGCCTTGGAAACCCAAGGAAGGGTTGCTATGAGTCAAAATCAACTCCATGGCAGCGAGTGTGGTTTTTTGGTTGTAAATACATGTGACAACCACCACAGACAGGACACAGAAAAGCTGCATCATCCCCCAAATCCATTTGTGCTCCCCTTTGTATCTGCCCGTTCCCACACCTGTAACCCATGGGAAGGACTGATATGTTCCCATCCCTTCTGGAGAACTGTGCATAAATGGAATCAGACAGAATGTAATCTTTTTAAACTGACTTCTCAAAAGTATAATGTCGTTAAGATTCATCCACATTGCTGGCTATGATAATAGTTTGTTTCTTTCAATAGCCAGGTAGTATTCCATAGCAAGAAGCCCAGGTGGCGCAGTGGTTATAATGCTCGACTGCTACCTACAAGGTCAGGGTTCAAACCCACCACCCCACTCCAAATGAGAAAGATGTGGCAGTCTGCTTCTGTAGTGATTTATAGCTTTGGAAGCCCAGTGAGATAGTTCTACTCTGTCCTATAGGGTCACTATGAGTTGGAATCATGTTGATGGCAATGGTTTATGCCATAGTATGGATGTACTCAAATTTATTTACCCATTTGCCTGTTGAAGGGTATTTGGGTTGTTCCCAGATTTTGGCAATTATGAACACAGCTCCCATAAACATTTGCATACAGACTTTTGTGTGAACATAAAGTTTCCTTCTCCTAGGGTACATAGCCTAGAGTGGGATTGCTGGGTCATATGGTAAGTATGTATTTTACAAGAAACGAGCAAATCATTTTCCAAAGTGGCTGTACTATTATGCAATCCCACCAAACATTAATGAGAGTTCTGCAACTTGTCAACACTTAGTATGGTCAGTACCTTTTTTTTGGGGGGGGGGACAGTCTAATCAATGTATTGGGGGCAATAGTAGCTCAGTGGTAGAATTTTCCCCTTCCATGTGGGAGTGCAGATTCAATTCCATGGGACAGCCTGGAGCATCACCTGAGGCAGATGCCTTACAAGACATTGCTGAATGTCCCCAGGACCCACCCTCACCACCTATATTTTTGGCTGTAGACCTATAACTAGACCTAAGTCCCAAAGAGCCCCAAGAGGTGAAGTACAAAGTGGGACTCATGAGGCACTATGCTACACTCCGAAAAAATTGCTGGGTTTGTCCAATATAGATGAACAGAAACCTGGAGAATAAGTGTGGGAAGGGCTACGGACGGTGGGGATCATGGTACAAGGAGCATAATGTTGGATCAGCCTAAGTTTATTGATATGAGCCCACTAAGCACAGATTCTTCACTCAGCATTTCCACTCAAGAGGTTAGAAAAGGAGCTGTGATGTGATGGACCACTTTTGTAAGGTCTTTCTGTCTGTGATCTTGTAATACCCACAAACAGATTGAGTGGAATTATACAAATAAAGTGTTTGTGGCCCACCAAGGGGGTTGGACGGCTTGCTGCTAACGCAAATAAGTTACATAGCATCCTTGTGGGAGCTCTGGTGGTGTAGTGCCTAAGGCATTTGACTGCTAATCAGAAGGCTGGTGGTTCAAACCCACTAGCCACCCCTCTGAAGGAAGGCTGGGCAATCTACTTCCGTAGCGATATTGCCTCAGAAACCCAAGGAGGGGCCACTATGAGTCGGATCCGACTCAACGGCAGTGGGTGGGTGAGCCTCCTTGTGAGGGTAGAACCAGGCAGATAAGGTGTATGGAAACCTAATGAGGGGATTGGTCTGTTTTGGGCATCTGTTCTGGTTACCTAGTGCCACTCTGACAAGAAAATACCACAAATGGATGGCCTTAACAAACAGGAGTTTATTCCCTTACCATTTGGGAGGATAGAAGTCTGAGTTCAAAGTGCCAGGCTCTAGGGGCTAGGTGAAAGCCCCTCTACCTTGGACTTCAGCTCTGCCTCTTGCTCCCGGCCCACTGAAGCTAGAGGCATCTCTTCACTCAGGTAGCTACTGCCTGCTGAGGCTAACAAGCCCAAGGTTGACAAATAAAATGGCACAGTCCTGATGTTACCAAACCACACAGCAGGCCATTAATTCAAGTCCATTGTAAGTCCCAAAGTCAGCAGAGCATGGCAGGCTGCTGAACAACGACATGGCTACATGCAGGGTCCAAGCGTGCCAAAAGCTACAGACTATCCCCAAGGCTTCTCCTTATATATAGGAAGCAGGTCATATCCCAAAGGCAGCTATTCAACTGCTTGTGATAATCCCCACCATGGAGTTGATTGCCAGTCTCATCATGGGGAATGTGATAGTTGGAGCTGTGTGTCAACTTGGCTGGACCACAATTCTGTGTGGTTTGAGCTGTTGTGGTGTGGCTGTTCCCATGATGGGATCAGATGACTATGTTCTGAGTGGTCAATCTGTTGAAGGGGAGTTTCCCTAGGGGTGTGACCTGCTTCCAGTATATCCAAGGACATCCTGGGAAGAGAGACATTCTTCTGTGGATCAGGATTCTGTTCTGCTGCCTACAACTGTCCGTGAGTGAACAGTACACCATTCGGCCTAGAGATCTTGGATTCGTCATTCGTTGGAGTCAACAGCTGGTGTACTGCCTGCCAGCCTTGAGCTCCTTAGCCCCTGCAGTTGCAAGAGCCAGGAAAAGCCTCCAGCTTGACGTTTGATCCAGGAACTTTGGACTTGCCAGCTTCTATAAATGTGTGAGCCATTTTCCTAAGATAAATTTCTCTATATATATACATATATATAAGCTTTACTGGTTTTTGTTTCTCTTGAGAAACCAGTCTAACACAAGGAGTAACTACCACCAGCTGTCCAGCCACTCAACTAGGCCCAGCCAAGTTGACATACAAATTTAACTACCACAGCATCTCACTAGGCTTTAAATGAGACATCCCAGAGGCAGACAGTGGGTACCTGACTACCACAAAGAAGAGATGGGAGCAGAGTGCATCCTTTGGACCCAGGATCCTTGCACTGAGAATCTCCTCAACCCAGCAGACAGAGAGAGAAAGAGCTATAACAGCAGATACGGTGAGGGACAGCAAGAAGCAGTGGCAGGGAAATGGCAGTGGCAGAACCAGAGGACCAGGAGGAGACCAGAAAGAGATAGCACAGTGGGCTCCCCAGCCCACAAATGAAAAAATGTAGTGCCTTCATGCAAGAGGCTTGCTGACAGAGTGGGGTGCCTCCAGGCACTTATTGGCAGAGCTAAAGAGCTTTGTAACACTTGTCCAAGCAGGGCAGAGGCCAAAGGGCCACTGGGCCGAGATGCTGAAGGCTAGAGCGAGGCATGTCTGTGGGTACAACTGAGAAAAAGCTGTATTCATTGAAGAACTGTGTCCTGAGTCCTTCCTCAACCTGAACTGTAATCTTGTACATTTCTGATAAACCCCAGAATCTTAAGTGTGGTCTCTGAGTTCTGTGTGGCCATTACAATGAATTTTTGAACCCAGCAGAGGACTAGAGAGTGCCATGGGAGGGAGAGTTGGTGTCAGAATTGGTAAAAAGTTGGAGAGAAGAGGTATGGGACCTCCAATCACAGGAATCAGCCTTGGGCTGTCGATGCTGATGAGGATTCTCCTTCCTCTTGTGAGGGGCAGAGGACACTGCTATCATTTTTATAGGCTCTAATAGTTGAGCTGGTTGGTTCACTGGAGCATGGATAAAGCAGTGGCCTACACTAAATCAAGGAGCTCTGGTAGCATAGTGGCTAAGACACTTGCCTGCTAACCAGACGGCTGGTGGTTCAAACCCACCAACCACTCCTCGGAAGGAAGGTTGGGCAATCCTACTTCCGTAGTGATACTGCCTCGGAAACCCAAGGAGGGGTCGCTATGAGTCAGGGCCGACTCGATGGCACATAACAACAACAACAACACACTAAATCAAGTTGAAATGCCAGACTTGCCTTGGTATACTATAGGTAAGTTGTCCAAAGCCTTAGGGCAATAGGCATTTGGAGTGGATTATTCAGGTTGGACACCCAGACCTACCCATGGAGTGCCCAAAGGACACACCTTTTATGACAACATTGTGAAGGGAGCCCCAGCATGCTTGAAGACTGCTGTTTTATTTCAGTCAGATTTGATAGCTGGAACTGCCCTGATTGAATTAAGACACCTAACCACAATGGGGCTGATTGGACCCTGTGATGGTAGGGGCCAAATGGCAGCAGTTAACTGACAAA